CTGATTTCCTTTTCTACTTGTCTTATTTCCCTAAGCAACTGATCATAGTTTTGAATAGTATCGTACTTATGTCTAGTTTGGGATTTAAGTTTTTCACAACGTAATGAAGTCCAAAATTTGTGACGTAAGAGGTCATTTTTAGCTTCCTTACGCAAATGATTATTGTCAATAGCTGTTTGTAAAAGAGACTCAATTCTACAACCAAAGGATGTAACATTTTCATTTGGTAACTGAAAAGAATTGAAAAACTCCTGCATAATCATTCCATTTGTTGAAATATCTGAAAACAATGCATCAAGTTTGTCTAAAATCTCACCAGTAGTTCCTTTTTCACAGAGAGGTATCAACATCTTTCTAGCTGTGCCTCTAAGGGATCTACGCATTGCTTGTAGCAAATGACTAGAACTTACCTCTGGATCACTCTGTAGACATCTGATCTCAAATCTCCATTCTGAATAACTTACATCTCCTTTCTGGGGTGGTTCATCACCTGAGAATGGTGGAATCTTGGGAATTACTTCTGTTGAAATAATTTGAGAATGTCCCATACTATATCCTATATTCTGATCATCCTTTGTCTGATTTAAACTGAAAGTATCTGACAGTTTAGCTCTCTACCTCTTCCAACAGAATATGTTTTAGGTATTGCTCCATGAACTCCTTTGGGTGTGCTTATCTTTGGCAGTATATCATACTTACCACTTGCAAGTAACTTCTTAATCATGGCATCCTCAGAATCTATGTCCTCACCTCCTTCTGCACCTTCAACTTTATTTTCTGTTTTTGACATACTTACTTCCAATTGCAGAAGACAAAAACAACACGCAGAAAAAATCACAAACAGCCGTACCACATCGCGAGTATGAATACCTGAAAGAATTCTACGACTCGGTGTAAGTGAACATATAAACATTTGCAAACAAATATTTCTCACACACTCTCACAAACTAATAAGTACTAAGTGACACTTGATATGACAGAAAAACACAATAAATTCTTTCAAAAAGAAATGATAAGTAATTGTGTAAAATGCAAACTCTGAAGATCTCTTTTCAGTCTAGGTCAAATATCTAAGAAAAATAACCCCTGTAAACTAAACGGACAGGACTGTTGGGCAGAATAATATGGAGTATTTTTTAAGAATTACATCAACACTTGTTTGACTCAGAGTAATGCACAACACTGCACAATGGGCAATGATTTGATATCAACCAAATATGACTCAACAAACTCAAACTTACCACTCCTGAGATTATCCGAACTTCCTTACATCTCTATTCAATGGCTGTTAAGGGTTTGTTATATGCAGTGCAATTAGAATGAAACAGAATTCCTAGTAAGAGACTGTGTTGTTACAAACATGCAGGTAACTGTGAGCTATCTCTTAACTAGATAGAATGTTCTATCGTTAAAATGATATTGTCCTACGGACCCGTGTATTCGCAATGTAGCAAAATAAACACGGGCGATAACTCGAACTCTGTGCATTTTCTATGAAGAATCCAGAGAGTTCCGAATGTCAACATGGCGTTAAATTTGAAGCGAGGAAAAAACGTTGAGAAAATGAGTTGAATTTTTGTATATATATGGATTAATTTTTAGGTTAAAAGGCATATACAATCTCAAAAAGGTTTGTTATGATTAATTTCGTAGTTATTTTCAGTGTAACTCATTTTGTATTCTTCAGAAACATTTCGTAGTGGATCCACTCCGATTTGCTACATTGCAAGTATATGGGACGTATTCTAACTGTGGTGAGGTCCTGTCCCGAGACACAGTTAGAATGTTATAACTATCTCTTAACCTAATGTGCAAATATATATCCTAGCAAAATATTCCTAATCCTAGAACATATACAGAAGATGAAACATAAATCAAACTGTCACATAAATACTGTACATGCTTACAATGACAAAACATGGACCATGTAAACAAAAGACATGATATGGACAATGTAAACAAGCATTCTGAGAGTATTGCATTAGCAATACTAGTCCCCTACCGGCAAGTGTAATCTGGTTCCCGTTAAAAATTGAAAATGCCATAATTCCGTCAAAAATCAATGAAGCGGGACGAAATGCAAACTTGATCTCTAACTACTCAAGGTAAAGTCACATACCAAAAATCAGCTCAATATCTGAAAGCGTTTAGAAGGAAATTGCGGAAAACCCTTAAAAATTGAAAAGGCCGTAATTCCGTCAAAAATCAATGAAGCGGAACGAAATGCAAACTTGACCTGTAACTCATCAAGATACACTTACCAAAAATCAGCTCAATATCTGCAAGCGTTTAGAAGAAAAGTGCGGAAAACCAAGTGGGACAGTCTGACAGACAGACAGAGGGACAGACAGACAGACAGACAGGCAGACAGACGGACGGACAGACTCAGAGGAAACCTATAGTCCCCTCCGGTTTCACCGGTAGGGGACTAACAAAAGACATGATATGGACAATGTAAAGAAAAGACATGATATGGACAATGTAAACAAATGACATGATATGGACAATGTAAACAAAAGACATGATATGGACAAAACAATCACAAGACACAGGCACAACACAATTAAACACGTAAATAAATAAATAAACAGTCGAAGAAATGCAAAATTTTAATTACCAGTACTTAGAAATAATGTTATTCCAAGTGGATTCACAACGAATTGTCATTCCTCGTGTTCAAGGGTAAACTTCCGGAATATGGAATTTGGGTAGTTCGTACGTAAATGAGTTCGGTTTGAATCGAACTAGCTCGAGCTAAAGATAAGAAGAAAGTCGATCACTCGGCAAAAGTCGGTGATTAAGCGGACGCATGCGCAACAGGTACATATATCGGGACAAGGGAATCCCGAAATGGCGGATCCTAGAATTCACAGCTGACACTTAGACTCAGAGCGCTCATAAACATAATAAAGCAGGAATCTGGACACCAATTCAAGGAAGATTTTCACAACACACAATCATAATAAATAATTTTCAGTTCACTGCAGTGATTCAGAGATGAAAATATGATGTACAAGAAATAGGGTATTAGCACTCGTATGTTGAATTACGATGATCTGTAGACTGGCTCCAACTTTTTAATATTAATGAACGTGGGCGCCATTGTAACCCGTCGGTAGAAATTCATACAAACAGATCTTGGGTTTTTGTAAATTATATTATGGATTAAACCTACAACATTCATACAACATACTTTACGTTTATACTATACTTTACACTCAGTTCAATTACTTTAAATATCCGTTAATATAACAATATCAACTTTACGTATAAATAAATTGCTTAAATCAAATGTATAACTGAAAACTATGAAATTATTAATATAATGATAAATAGATAAAAAGCTTACTAGCCTACATGACCCTATATCATATACGATAGATGCGTCTACTTAGACGGCGTGCATGGATGGGTATGGCAGGTAATTTAGAAAACAGGTTTTGGTTAGTATTATGAACACCACTCACTCTCTCTCTCATACACCCCTTTCTCTCTATTACCCTAAATCACGTGACGAACAGACAATGAAGAGACCAACGACAAGTAGGTGGATCCAATATCTAACACTTGGTTACATTTTATATTACAATTTTAATTTCTGCAGTTGATTATTTCTATATGTTTTTACGGTCCTATGGAAATATTTTAAACATTATAAAAATAAACAAGTCACAACAGGATATGATTTGTCACCATAGGAGAAAAAAAGATCAAGTTTTAGATTTTAAAATCATTAAGTTGTAAATGTATGGCAGTAAAAAAACTGTAAGTAAGTCTTTTTATATTGCATGCTGTTTTTAATCAGATGTGGATACAAGATAGATATATAAATAACTCGCTAATGCGAATTATTTTTTTAAATATGTACATATCTGGTAATTCATGACACAATTCAATGTAACAAATATTCATTTTAAGTTAATGAACTCTCGTTATTTCAAAGTGTAAAAGTTTAGATGTAAAAATCGACCTTTTTACCGTGGTTTTTATTGTAAGATAACCTGGAATTAGATCAAATATGCTTTATACATATAAAAATATACCTTTGCAGTTAAGGATCTTTTAAATATTCACTCATTTTTAAGTAGACTTTGTTCGACATTGCTACCAGCAAACAGTTATTTTTTTTTTCACCCATTACTTTTGATTTAATTAATAAACAAGTGTTTAAGATGGAAATTATGCATTATCAGGTGTAATGTGTATTTTCATTTTATTCACTGAAATTTCAGGGCTATTTATTTACATTATAGAGACAAGTACGCAACAACAATATGAAACATCAAGTAACGTTGAAAAAGGTCTGTAGTGGTAAATGTAACATGTATAATAATGCATGATTACTTATAATCTGGCTTGCATTAAAGTATTTTCCGCTCTTTCCTCATTATAGCATAAGCCCAGATAATCCATATTCCAGGATAAAAGACATTTCTAGCAACCAAATGAAATAATATCCCACCCAATATTTTATAATGCGTTTATCATATAGTTAATAAATAGTCTATAATAAGAAGTCTAGAGAATTTTAGCGTTCAATATCCCGAGACATTCTGAATACGAGCGTTCAATATCAAACGCCCCTTTGTCAACAAAAATGTCGTCTTGTCAACTGCTTAACGGCAATATTTATGGGAAAAAAAAGTTGGAGCTAGGCAAGATGAGTCTATTTTCAAACAAAATATAAATTATTAATTAATAATTCTGTTGGGTGTACAAATGCACTCGCAAGCTCTTGCATTTGTACAGCCAACTCGTGCCAATATTCACCAATATAAGTTCAAAAACCCTATATACTAAGTATGATTTGTTTGGCCACAATGTTATAAAAACAACTCAACATTCTGATGATACGACCACTAGTGTTTAAACAGGTCTGTAATCATGTACGTATGTCTTGTAACTTTAATTCATTTTCGAAACGACTAACTTTATATATCAACACATGACTTGCATGTTTCTAATCTGAGCAACTGTATTTATTTATTTATTTTTTCCAGACATAACATCTCCACGTATTGCTAGTACCACCACAGATGGTTATGGAGGTTTGTAATATGCATGTTTTAAAAAAAATTGTCTATACTTCTTAAATTTTTCTAGTGTAACAATTCCACTTTTTTAATCAATTGATTAATTTAAGCCGAAATAATGCATGTTTTATTAAATAATTGACAATTATGATAAAGTACGCGGTGTGTTACAATTGAGATCTCACCTATCCTCATATTATATGGGTAGCATTTTTTCTACCAACATAGTTCTGAAGAACTACTGCTCTCAAGAAGAAAAATAAATCTAAAAACGTAACTTCAAAAGTAGACTTCGAAGCAAAACAAAACAAAAGTAATATGTGAAGATGTCCCAATGTAAAATTGTAGAAACAACTACTCAGTTACATGGTGAGAGAACTACCAGTCTTCAAACAGGTCTGCCCTTTCACCTTTATTTATATTGCATGTGTATTAACGAAAACCTAATCGAGAAATTAAGCAGACATCTCTATATTTCCTTTATCGTTTGCTTCTCCATTCAGTTTTTTTTTCCTTTATCGTATGCATGATCATTCAGTTTATTCCCTTGTTTGCATATTCATAAAGTTTTTGTAGACTACAAATATTCCACTGATCGCTTATTTTTAAAATACTCAAGAAAGATTTTGATTTCACATTATATCCATATTTAATTTTTATATTTTTTGCTTACTGTAACTTTGATCTTGTATATTTGTTAACCATTGTTGTTGTTGTTTTTTTAAATTTCAAACCATTAAAGCATAAACTTTAAGTTAGTAGCGCACTCTCAAGAAATCTTTATACCGAAGCTAAAATGTAGCTGATAATTTTTTATCACAATTTTTACACAACTGACAAGTCAGTAATAATGTTGGTAAAATTGATGAAATAACTTTGTTTCTAGAACCGGTGATTACAAAAGTGATTACTTTAAAGTCAACTACTATAAAAAGTAGGAAATAAACACCCTAGATAAACCATGGATGACCTTCCTTAACACTGCATGTAATTTGCCATCGTAATTACCTTGAACAATTTTATATTTTCATGAAGCTTACAAGATATAATAGGTAATTCAAATTGATAAAAAAAAAACATTGACATGCGGTGTGATATATTTATATGTAGCAGGATTTCTAAAGAAAACGGACACAGTTTAATATTTGAAAATAAAAATCTTAAATCAATTATCCCTCTATTTATTTCCTTATTTTGCCTTTTCTCGCCAAAACATCCCATTGTTTCCAAACTTTTTTAATTACAAAAAACTCTACAGTGCCAAAACATCGAACATCTGAAATATAATCCTCCTACGTGTTCATGTCCTTTTTCATCCAACAACTATAGTCCTATTGGACACGTCATTACTGGTGATGTAAATATAGTTAATAATGGGGACCTTAAATCACTTATTTTTAAAGGGCCACAATTTAGGGAACCATGATCTCTCAACTGTAGACATAATTTTATACATATTATGTGAAAGATTACGTCTGGCGATGGGCAAAACATGAAAAAGAAGACCTTGACACTGTCAGAGTGGATTAAATGTATCAGATGGATGTTGAAATCTCGCATTAAGCGGATGAGGGGTAATGTGAAAACCATCTATCCTTCTGGCTTTGATAATTAAGAAGTGAAAATAGAATAAGATAGATTACACGATCACTATGTACTGGTCCCAGCTGACAACGCAGGTAACAACATTGTCTTTGTTTGTAAAGCTCATTTTTTTATTTGCATTTTAGAGGAACTGGGATTTAATTCTGCAAGTGGCAATCCAACTTATATTCATAGTTCCCTTTCTTAGGAGGAAATTCTTCAAAATCTTATGTCAGTTTTAAATATTTTTAATATTCCTAAAAATCAAATTGAATTTAATTACCATACCGATACTGGATTTCTAAATTACATAAAAATCCTTACAAACAAAAGATACATAGCGGGTTCCAGTAAATGTTCTACCAAGCCTCTTTCCTTACTCCTCAATAAAATATTTACAGCAGTGAAGAAGAAACTTAAGGAGTACTGTACAACGATATAATCAAGAAGTCTCCGCCGAAATATGGCTGAAATATTGCTGACTCAGCGTTAAACCCCAATCAATAAATCAATTGTTATTCAGAAGTGATGTAAATCACATGTGGATGCTTAAGAACTCCAAGAAACTTTTACAAAATTAGAAATCAGCTGCTTTTTCAATAAAAACGGTACACGTAAATTTTCTTACCTTTGCACATTTTTTTTTTGCTATAGAAATATTCTGATTGTACACACAAGTACTCCGAAGTTGATATTAAAAAGATGTTTGAGTTTCTCATTTACAATATCCATGTAGTTTTTGGATATCAAGTCTTCCAACAATCTGTCGGAATTCCCATGGGTACTAATTCCGCCCCATTATTAGCAGAACTATTTTATTCATATGAAGTAGAATCTATTCAAAAACTTCTACATGAAAAGAAGAAATCTTTGCTGTTGCCTTCAATTCAACATTTAGATATATCGACGAAGTTTCATTAATTGACGATATTTATTTTCATTCCTACGTTGATTCGATATATCCCTGAGAACTCGAAATAAGATACCCGAGAGTCTGCTACATCTGTTTCATATTAGGATATTTTACTAGAAAAAGACTTTAATGGTAATCTAACAAAAAAACTTTATGATGAACGTGATGACTTCAACTTTACTATCGTCAACTTCCCTTAGTTATGTAGTAATATACCATTATCACCTGCATATGGAGTTTATGTCTTCCAGTTGATTAGATCGCAAGGACAAGCTTTGCGTACGAACAATTTCTAAAACGAGGCAAGCTACTGACGAATAAGTTGATGAAACGAATATCAACAGTCTCGTTTAAAGTCAACATTTCGAAAATTCTATGATCGATACAATGACCTTGTTAGCAAATAAAATCTATCATTAAGTCGAATATTGACTGATGTTTTTCATGCAAATTGTTAGGCCATTTTCACACTAGTCTACGGAAATTTTTGTTTTCCCGATTATGAAGAGCAGACGGTAGGTGTGACCGATCGACAGGGGATGCTTACTCCTCCATTGCATCTGATCCCATGTTTGCTCTGCTCCAAATTGATATTGTTTCAGTGGACTTTGAGCTTGACTACTGTTCGTTATCTTCATATTTGATGAAGTATTGAAGGTTTGTGACAGATATGTTAATGAAAACAAGATCTTGGTACCAATTACATCCGATATGAATCGCAAAATACATCTGTTCATTAATTAAAATTGGATGCATTATGTGATAGAGACTAGAGCCATTTAATAACCAAATATGAATAGTAGATAAATGTTGAAAAGATTTACTACTCAACAAAGGTGTTATCAAAAATATATCTAGTTAAATTGTGTTGCCATGTCAAACAGTTAAGGGTTTAGATTAAACGTCATCTGAGGTCAAGGAGTGGAAGACGATTTGGCGATAAGTAAAGCAGTTAATATTGTTTTCTGTCCTAGAAAAAAAATTTGCATGGATTATATTTAATATGTCTTTGGATTTCAGATTATTTAACACATACATTACAAAACGTATAAAACTAAAAAGTTTTTATCTGCGTAATTCATTGGTGAGACTTATATGTATGTTATCGTTCAATTTGAAAATGAGGGAACAGTGCAATCAGTACAAAAAAATGTAAATTATACACAATTACTACTAATTGCTTTTAGACACCACAAAAACGGAATTTACGTTACGTAAACGTTACGTATGATTGAAATGCATAATGCACGTGCTTCATTCAAAATATGTTTCATATCCAAAGGCGGATCCAGTGCCGGCGCCCCCCCCCCCCCCCGTTTGAATTTTTTTATATGTAGAACTTATATGTCCATTATCCTAAAATCTAGGAAAAACATCTCTTATTTGTAAGAATTCGGATCCCCACCAGGGCTTTGCCCTATATCCCCTGGGGGCTTCAATGCAGCCACCAGAGCCCCCTGCCTTCTACTGTGCCCCCCTTCCCCCCGTTATGAAATTCTTGGATCAGCCACTGATATCTCATAGTGGCAGTCTGTTAAGACCCTTTAGGCTAATATTTCAGTTATCGCTTCTCTAGAGATGATTCAATTACTTCCATAATTAGTAAATATAAATCAAAATTCCATTGATTGATTTTTCATCGATAATAGAACTTTTCTATAACTGCAAGTATTTAAGGTATGTCACTCGTGAAATTTGTTATATCTAGGATTTTTTGAGAAGTTTATTTTGGATAAGTACTCATATAGTATGACTCAAAATCGCAGAGAAAATTGGGGGTCAGTGTACATCTAACTGAGCTACGGTACAATTAAGATGACCTTTTTGCACTTAAATTGTAACTCTTTGGTTAATCACTTTAACCGTTATCATATTTTATAAGATGTATCTATGGCAATAAACATAATCTTATTTTACGTAAAATAGTTTGAATAATATTTATCATTGAACAAATCATGCAAATTAATGCGCGTAAATTATTGTGTGACCTTTTTGCACTAAAAAAGTCTCCTATTTGGGGTATTAAAAATCTAAATAGGCAATAGAATATTTTCTTGTATCAAACTTTTTACGACTCAAGTGCTGATCGGTCAAAAGTATCGAGTAGTTTAAAATAATGAAAGAAAAAGTTGGGGTCAGTGATGTAAATTTTGAAATATTGGTCAAAATATGCGATTTTCAGGCAAAAAACTGTGTAAATTTTATCTCGACTTCCTTAATATATCTTCCTTTTTTGGCAATTTTTGTTGAGCGAAGGTGTAAATTTTGTTATAAAAATATAAATTGAGACCTATATTTAATATTCCAGGCATATCATAACGGAAAATATTCTCTGAGTAAAAGTGTGTGAGGCTAAAGTTCCAAGATGTTAAATTTAAAAAATGTGTAGATTTGCAGAATTTTCTGCTAAATATCCTTCCGCCACAAGAAATAGGCCCTTATAAATCTTGCTTCTTTGGGAATTTTTGAGCAGTTTTTTAAGTGAATGTTGAACATTTTTCATTGTTTAAATTAAATATGTTATAAAGATTGAATTGTAATAAATAGTTTTTACGTAAGAGGTTCTGACTGAAATTTTCTAAAAGGCTGACGAGTGACATACCTTAAGAAATGAATGTAATATTTTTTTCTTTGACCGACGTATCAAACAAAAATTTGGACGGAAAACGTCATCAATGTGCGTAGCGCATTGATGAAAAAGTTTTCCGTCCAAATTTTTGTTTGATACGTCGGTCAAAGAAAAAAAATAGTACTTTCATTTCTTATCATTTAATTATGATTTAAAAATACTAAAAATGAAACCTTTTTTTTTTACATTTCAATATTTAATTCAAGCATCAAATACAGTGCCTAGGAATACGTCACAACAACGTTGCTGAAATTCAAAATGGCTGAATGTACAGATCTGCACGCGCATTGGATTGATGACGTTTTACGTCCAAGCTTTCTATGATACATCGATCAAAGAAAAAATTATAAGATTTATTTCTTATCATTTAATATTTATCTTTCAATGATGAGATTTAACTTGAGAACGAATGACTGTCCAACATAAAGGTTAGGCCTCGCTTAGCTGCCTAAAATGTAACGAACAAACAACGTTTTCAAATATTGTGTCATTACCAGCTTTTTCTAATAATATCAGTTTTAACACAAAAAAAACTTACCTGTTGTGTTATTAATTTTTGCTATATCCCAATGGTTATATTTCCCAGGTAAGTTGATATCTTTAGGTTCGTAAATGTAAAGGGAAGCTACTCAAATAGAATCTATAACCTTAACAACTCTTTCTAGGTCACAGAAATTTTGGATTTCATTTGCGCATATCTTCATCTGAATTTCAAACCGAACATATATATACTTATCACAACCTATCCATGGATAACACAACATGCTTCAAAATATGGAAGAGTCTGTTGCCGACTGTTTAACTTTGAAAGAATTCCGTCCTCGCTCACTTTCGCATCGTTTTTCTCGTGCATTCGTTTCCTAAGAATTAACAGATTAACGACATTTCCCCGCTCTGGTAACATAAAAACATTTCTTCATAGTTCTATTCTTCATACCATTTATCTCAAAGACAAACATCTAACATACGTATGATGATTTCTTTCCTTTTTTCCTCAACTGCATTGTTGTCAATGCAATGCAGACGATCCGATTTGTTTACCAAAGGGGGATAATTCGAAAAGAATTGAGAAATGAATGTAATATTTTTTTCTTTGACCGACGTATCAAACAAAAATTTAGACGGAAAACGTCATCAATGCGCGTAGCGCATTGATGAAAAAGTTTTCCGTCCAAATTTTTGTTTAATACGTCGGTCAAAGAAAAAAATAGTACTTTCATTTCTTATCATTTAATTATGATTTAAAAATGCTAAAATGAAACTTTCTTACATTTTAATATTTAATTCAAGCATCAAAGACAGTGCGTAGGAATACGTCACAACAACGTTGCTGAAATTCAAAATGGCTGAATGTACAGATCTGTACGCGCATTGGATTGATGACGTTTTACGTCCAAGCTTTCAAGCTTTTTTCCAAGAAAAAAAAATGAAAAGATATGAAAAGATATTTTGTAATGAAGAAAGTTTAAGGTCCAGTGAACCTTTTAAAAAATTCCAATTCTCAAAAATGTATTAAAGCTATAGTAGGTCTCAAAAAATCTCTTATTTTTATTATATTATCAAGAATATTTAGTGAATAATGCTTAAGGAAAATTTATTTCTTAAAAAACAAACAAACAAAGAAATTAATTTTAATCTTAGTCGTAAGATTTTTTTGAAAAGGGGGAAATTGTATAAAGTAGGATATTAGTGTTTATTTACCTTCATTAACTACGGAACAGTAAGTAGACATCCGGCTATAATTATCATTGAAATCTAAAAGAAAAAAAATAATTTTAGTTACGAAGTTCTTCATAGACATTCTAACCTTCCCTAATTATTCTGTGACATTTGACTTTTAAATGAATAAGACGACGGTTGTTAATGTACAACTTTTCAGTAATTCCTGTATATTAATGTTCAAACATCATAATATTATCATTAGTTCTTTTAAAAAAAAAGTGCATCCCTCTTACCTATTGATATTCTCTGAAATATAAATGTACTTCTTCATGTGTCTTAAAGGGACAAAGACACATATCTGAAGTTAATATTATAATATAATATGAAAGTATGTGTCAATCAAACGCGTCCCGAAATTCGTAGTTTCAATTATTTCCAGATAAAATAAGTTTTTTTTTAAAATTATATTTTCGTGTGAAATGTTAAGCAACATATAAGTCATGATGTTAAACAGAAAATTTGAGAAAGTATTAACTTCAAATCTGTGTCTATGTCCCTTTAAATAGCTTTTTTTATACACATTTGCAAGACGAACTAGTTACTTTTTACAGAACACAGCATTACGCTATTAAAATTCATATATTTAATTATTTTCGTTTAACCTACCTTCTAATTTGATTTTAGTAAATATAGATGTAAAATTCTATTCATTAATCGTTATTAATGAAAATCATTTATAACTGCATGGATGAAAACCACATACATGTATACACAGAAAATGCGGAATGTTTTTATAAATTTTGATTCTGTATTTTGTTATGAAATACAGAGGCATGTTGTATGAGAGTTGTTCGAGAGTCGAACATTTCGTTTCATTTGTTATTACATGTATAATCTAAAGAGATTTAACAGTTACTCTATACTAGACTTAATCATTTACATTAGAATTTTAGTAGTTCTTTCAAACATTCTGTTTTATTAACTTTTTGTTGACGACGTCAGAAGTTAGATTGTCGTATAGAAAACTATATGCAGTGCAGATAACATCAATGTTTGTAGACATATGTAGGAAGAAATAGGATTTGTTGTAACAAGGTGTGCTTGGTCTTTTTCCTAGATTAAAGAGAAAGTAATCAGTTTTCGTAAACCAAGTTTCAAGGCACAGGTCAGGTGTTCAAGATGCGCTTTGTAGCAACCGCTAATGATAATGCAACGCTTAATGTCATAAATTATTGCATTAATAGTTGACATGCTCAACTGCATAATGAAAAAATTCTTTCATTAAGCTGCGATTTATCATTCGCGGTTGAGAATGTCAACTATTAATGCAATAATTTATGGCATTAAGTGTTACAATTGCAAGGCTTAATGATATTTCTATCATCAAGCGGCATTTTATCATTAGTGGTTGCTACAGCGCTTCCTTTGGTCTCCGTTTAATAGAACAAGCATTCTGAGAGTATTGCATGAGCAATACTAGTCCCCTACCGGCAAGTGTAATCTGGTTCTGTTCCCGTTAAGAATTGAAAATGCCATAATTCCGTCAAAAATTAATGAAGCCGGACGAAATGCAAACTTGATCTATAACTAATCAAGGTAAAGCCACATACCAAAAATCAGCTCAATATCTACAAGCGTTTAGAAGAAAATTGCGGAAAACCCGTAAAAATTGAAAAGGTCGTAATTCCGTCAAAAATCAATGAAGCGGAACGAAATGCAAACTTGATCTGTAACTCATCAAGATACACTCACATACCAGAAATCAGCTCAATATCTGCAAGCGTTTAGGAAAAAAGTGCGGAAAACCAAGTGGGACAGACTGACAGACAGACAGAGGGACAGACAGACAGACAGACAGACGGACAGACAGACAGACAGACGGACGGACAGACGGACGGACAGACTCAGAGGAAACCTATAGTCCCCTCCGGTTTCACCGGTAGGGGACTAATAAATCTGACAAAGAAATAACACTTATTTTTGTGTGAGACAAAATAAGCAATATTTCTTTAGACTGTCTGGTGCAATGCACTCTTTTTATATGCGCCACTTTTAAAAAGTACATACAGGTATTTAGCAATAGATGGTGTTACAAGCTTCAAGTCAGGTGACATCAGGTTCAATTATATTCACCATTTAATTAATTAATTCATATTATTTTCAGACAATAGCAGCCTTTTTGTAGGAGAGAGTACCGGTTACAATGGCGGACAAATCGCTGCTGGTGTTGTAGTGGGAGTAGTTGTTATCATCTTGTTTGTGGTGGGAGGTGTCATAATATTTCAAAAAATGAAGAAAAAGCGTTCGGTAAATAGTTCTGACAATAAAAAGAATGAAGATAATACAAGAGAAAATGTCAGGCGTTCAGAATGAAGAGAAAATCCAGTTATCATCTCCTCCAGTCGGAACAAAATGTGTCACGTGATCAACAACCTTTAATCTGTTTTTTGTTGTTGTTATGTTTTGAATAAAAAAAAACTATTATTTGTTTCACCAATTTCTGATTAGAATCAAACCACTATTATTTGGTCCTGTGAGGAGTCATACTTTATCAACGTAAATGTTCTTATTGCATATAAAAGTTTTGTTTATAACCATCTCATTTGTTTATGATTTAGTTTATAGTAAACGGGTTAGTCTCTTTTTTAGACACTTAAAGCCGAACATTACTCGTTAATAGGCATAAGCCATTTTAGTTTTCCTACTGTATCTCAGATATCAGCACTGGAGTAGACCCTTCGCATTCGTTACACCTGACTGCTTTCTTGTCACGAGTACCTGCGTGGTATGGACGACACGTGTTCGTGTTGGTTATCTTGCATTACCTTTGTTTACAATTTATTGCAGTTTACGTCTATTTGTTTTTGTTTGCTCTGCACTGATCTGTGCAACTGATGTAAGTGTCCTTGGTAACTATCTCTTCTGCAGTGGAAGAAGATCACAGTTACTTTTGTCGCTACCGAGAGTTTTACAATAGCAATATAGAATACGTCCGTCAACACCGGTGAAAACTGATTACACTGTACCATAACAAGTGAACGGCTTATATAGAGGTCGTACAGGTTACGGAAAATGCAGTAATATGGCAGACAAACATAGATATCTGCCTTTTACGAAATGTGTTCAGCTTTAACGTATTGAATGTGTAACCATATGAATAGTTCGATTTTTGTAATCATATCATTCTGACCTTTAAGGTGTTCTCAAATAAATATACTCCACCATAAGAATTTACAAAATTTTGATCAATGACAAGTTAATTGCACCTTCAATTTTACACTGAAGTCTATGGGAAGAACATGTTTTATTAAGATACTGTAAAAAGTAATTTGAATTTCATATAAATCTCTTGGTAAAAATATGCACCAACTCTCTCTTTATTAGAATGTGAAATAAAATCTTTTATCGCAGATATTTTGAGAAAATTAAAAGGAGATAGGCGAACAAGCCGAGAAAAATGCCTTTATATATATGGTTCGACAAATAAGAAAGTGAAAAATTGACTATATCAATTATCACACAATTTTTTGGATATAGCAGGTAACATCAATTCATACTTTATGAAAAATCTCACAATATATACCGTTCACGGTAGCTCAGTCGGTAAAGGTCCAAATTTGAAGCCCTTCACCTGTATCTGGTGACGTCTCTATATGAGTGAAAAATTCATATGGAGAAATGGTGTTCATTCTGCTCATTTGCATATCAACCATATTAGAGATATAATGGCGGCATATTCTATAAAGATTTAAATAGAGAAAATACAATAAAATGCATTTTTTTATATACTAACTATTTCGGATAAAGTTCTTCCGACGATGATTTGATTTTTCTTAATATCTTCTACCGGAAATGACAAGATTGTTGATACCAAAGTGAAAGTTGCAACCGCCTTTTTGATTTGAAAATTCGAAGCGAGGGTATATTGCTTTATTGAAGGAAAGAGTGCAGAATTGGTGTTGTTTTTTTTTTTTTTCATTTTTGATGATGAAATGTAAGTGTTTATTGCAAGTTGACAGAGTTCTTCCGCCGATTAATAGAAGCAGGAGAGAGCCTATTTTTATAAAATACAGATGATTTACCATTTTATGAAGAGTTACGACCGCCTTTTTAATTTAAAAACGGCAGTTTTCTTGCATTTTGTGACCTACTTATTATCAGAAAAACGTTATCATGAGTCGTCAGCCGTTAATCAAACAAAATTCTACCCATATAGCTATGGCGGAGGTTTGAAGAAAAAACAAAACGAAACGGGCTTGCAGGTTTTAATATAAAAATTTTAAGAAATGGAATTCTGTGTTTATGCAGGATCTTATGAATATTAATGAGAATTGAATCACGTGGCAACAATCTCATGAATAAACTGCACGCCATTTCTCCATATGTCTCGAATGGGACGTTAAACAACACACAATCAATCAATTTACACTATGCAACAATATCATAAGTGTTGGAATTATTCGGGTATGAAATAGCTCGCACACTCCTTCTCTTGACTGATTACGTCACTGAAAAGAGGCGCTACTCTAAATCTAATCACAATATTGCCGAATAGCTAAGACGCGAAAATATTCTTTTAAAAGCGAAAAGCATAACTCTACCATAATTGTTTTTCATGCAAATATAGATGAAATTAAATCGTTTCATCTGACATGCTGTCGTCTAAATTTGTTACTCTCCGTCAACAGAAATGTAGACGGCAGGCACGTGACGTCCATTGTCCAGTGAAAAGGAGTCATTCTAGTCCGAAGCAAAACAATTTGTCTTTGTCGTATCGAATTCCTAACATTTTTTAACCTTTCGTTAATACCTTATTTGCTCCTGGTCATATACTAGTATATGCGCTCTTACAATCATCTTCATAAAGTCTACCGATTTTCATTTCCGTATATATATTAAGTGGCATACAAACTAAAGTGACAATTAATGATTCTCTTGCTAAGTAACGGTCTGATATTTTGCTTAGATATAGCTTTGTTTTTCCGCTTAGGTATTGCTTCGAGTGAGTGCTTTATTTTGCTTATATAGGTACATGTATTGCTTTGAGTGATTGATTAGGTATTGCTTTGAGTGAGTGCTATTTTGCTCAGGTGTTGCTTCGAGTGAGTGCTTTTTTGCTTAGGTATTTCTTTGAGTGAGTGCTTTTTTTGTTTAAGTATTGCTTTGAGTCAGTGCTTTTTTGCTTAAGTATTGCTTTGGGTGAATGCTTTTGAAGAATAACATTGCTACTGATCTTGTGACCATGAACTTGACGTTTGACTTACATGTAATTGTCAAATTATTTTGTATTGACGATGTAAACAAGAGGTGAGTATATTTCATATGTGCAATGCCTGTTACATGATCAATGTCTACCCTGGACCTTGAACTGTGGTCTTCATTTGAATTCCAAGATGAAATCAAGTTTCAAGCAAACTCTGATTCTTTTGCAATTCTACATAAAAGATGAAAGCAATCGCTCTAAATTTCGTTGTTGCAAGCGACACAGTGGTAAAAACTTTCTTCATCATGCAACTTTTGTCTTTCACATTTACCCTGAGTCTTGCATCTTAAGAGACATGTTTCTGAGGCTCAGTTATACATATTTTGTCGCTATTGAAACAACAATTTAGAATCATTCAAGTGTCCTTAGATCAAAGGAAAAAGTATAACTAATTAGAATTTGATTAATTATTCTGCACGAACATTTCATCCCCCCGTTCATTGTATTTATCTCAGAGTCTGTTGGAGTGATCTCTCTTTCTTCATGCTGGAGAATAAATGATGCAGGAGAATAAATCACCTCTCTCTCTCTCTCTCTCTCTCTCTCTCTCTCTCTCTCTCTCTCTCTCCTAGTTGTTAAGAGTTAAATTTACAATGTTCACTTTTAATGAGACTTAATGCATCTGACTGGCTATAAATATTGTTTTAAATGATAGGCAAATGAAAAAGGTTTGACTGTCAATAGCAAACCAGTGCCTTTTTCCTCTAAACTCTACCACAAAAATCTCATTAAGGAGGTTGCATCCTGTTATCAAAAGAATTTAGAATTTTTATCAAGTATATTTTTAGAATCTAAATACATAGTTTAATTAAAAAATCAAAACAAAAGATGGGGGGTCAATGCGCTTCTTTTGGCGCCTCTGAGCAATTAATATGACCTTTTTGCACTGTAATTACGTCCAACACATAAATCAATTTTTCAAAGTTGTTCCTCTAATATTTTTTATCCAAATAAATTATGGAACAAACACAGTCCTTTTTCATCTTGAATAATCATATTTAAATTTGTGACAAGAAAAAAACCAAATTACTTCACATAGTCAATTATTTGACCTTTCTGCACTCAAAAAATATTTTTCTGGCATTAAGAATTTAATTAAGAAATAAATAACAATGTTAAAAAGTTCTCTGGGAAATGAACTTGGTTGGTCACGTGATCAAATCCTGTGAAGCCCGAAGGGCTTCTCAGAAGATTTGATCACGTACCAACCAAGTTCATTTCCCAGAGAACTTTTTAACATTGTTGTTTATTACTTTTATTTACATTTGAGACGAATATTCTAAAAAGAACTGCATTTATTACACGAACGGCCCGCCGTATTGCTACGTTGTGACGCGCAATGACCTAGAAGCTGTTTGGTCTTGAGAGTTCGCCTCGCTCCAACATTTGAATATTTACATTGATGTTCAGCAGTCCATTTCAGGAAATATCTGTTCATAATGAAAAATCCATGATCGCTTCTGAGAATAATCTTACTATTATTGTATGAGTTCTTAATATATGAAGTCAAAAGCGGTGGTATCGTCTTCAGTTTACATACCTTCAAAGGAATTTCGGGTTAAAAAGGTAAGCGTGATTTTAGGCTAATTAAAAACATTCTTCACATCGAAGAAAGAACTAATGAATATTTGTTGAACGAAGAAAAACATATGTTTCAATAATTTTATCTTTTTCATCGCTTTAACGGCTTAGAAGTTCCGAAACCAGTGTCACCGTGACAGAAATATGTAGACAAGATATCATCTCGCTGTGTGATTCGGTTACGCCATGACCTCTGACCCTCTAATAAGTTCATACAGAATTGAACATATTTTCTCTTCAATACGTTCATATAAGAAAAATATTTGCAAATGTAAATAACAAGCGATAAAATCATTTGAAAGCAATGACATTTTTCTTAATTTAAGCAGAATGGTTAAAATTATTTTATATATTCAGAAAAGAAAATAAAAAGAGGGGGTCTGTGATTTTAATTTTAACATATTACTAAAATAGTGTTAATTTTAAGCTTAAATTGGGCTATTTCTTCCCAGGACTTTCACAATATATTTGTTACATTTGTCAAATATGATGATAGAATTCATGACAGTTAATCAAATATATAATTTAGGACCAGCATAAAACATTTCACTGCACAAAATAGCTCTGTGTGCAGGCTGCATGTAAAAATGGGTATTCAAATTTAACAATACTTTAAATACTTCGAAAGAGAAAAATTGA